TAGACCTACCGACGTCCAGCACGGGATTATCCCAGGTGGCTGTCAGCCGGTTTGGCTGTGATGAGCGCGGACGATGCGTGGCCCGCCCACTGTATGCAGATTGGCTGATACAAGAGTCCATTACAAGGCTCCCTCTGCTTCATATGAGAAACATTTTTCTTTGCTGTCTGTTACAGATCCCAAGAGGGGATGGTGTCATGTTGTACCTTGTAGTAAATAGTATAATGTATCGCTCAGTAGTTCAGAGATCATGCACCCATTGTACATGATGACTCTTCTTTATGAATCTACAGTGCATTCAATTAAATGGTCAATAACGGAAAACACTGGGAGGAATAACTAAGTAGTACACGTTTATTTGAGTATTGTACGTCAACTTTAATACATTTTTTTAAGTAATCGAGTACACAAAACATACTTACAGTTATTCAACAGCTGAAGCAACTTTTTAGATTCACAATTCTGTTGTGAACCTCTGTTCTGTTTTCACATAATAGGTTGGAATAATATATCTTTCAATCGTTTCTAAGATAAGTTTTCTAAAATGCACATTACACATTTTTGACATGTGACAAGCTACAAAATACAGAATCTAAGAAGTGACCAGTGTCCAATTCAGAAGTCTCATGGTCACTGTGGCTTAAGATGTTAACTTATCAGAAGGTCGGTGGCTTGAATGCTCCTTGAGTGTTCTTTGGCATCTAAATAATGTCCTCTGGCAGGGTAGTGAACCATGAGTTGTTTCTGATGCATCCATCAGAGTGTGGGAATGTTAGGTTCAAAGCACTTAGGCACAGAAAAAGGTGCCTATGCAGATGAAGCTACAAAGCACTTGTAGCTACAAAGCACTTTGAGTATTCAAATTAACTAGAAAATTGCTCTAATAGGTGCCAGTCCATTCGAGTTTTTATCTAAACTATTTATCAAATTATCTCAATTCAGTACAAGAGCAAAAATTAAGCAGGGAAAGTGCCAGGCCTTTGTGTTTTTTTCCAGCCCCTCTCATTTATCTGGTAATCATTTGGAAACGACCGGCCTCAACTAGACTAAAATTTCTAACTGCATATAAAGTAAGCAAAACCTGCTCCAACTTTAGCAGCTGAAACATGCAGTAAACATAGATTATTTTTTTCATTTTATATTTTTTAAGAGCATTTGTTGATAATATGCATTTTAATTATAGTAGGTATCATACTTCTATCAGATAGTTTCAGTAGTCATTTACACTGCTCATGCAATGAAGGTGGGACTTGTAACAGCTGATAAAAGGGCAACACTGGGCACAGTTTAGGGCTGACTGTTGTTATTATTGGCTCATCTCATTTCCAGAGGGAAGCTTTAATCTGACTCTTATGTCAACATGACTTGGCAGGAGTGGCTTTATGCCTGAACTTTTAGTCAATAGGTTGATTTAGTATTGGAATGAACACATATCAGTTTTTTTCTTCTTTTTTCTGTTTTAGATAAGTCTGACAGATTTCTCTTGAGTGAAACCAGGAGACATGACAAACAACATATATGTTAAAATGAGCTTGCAAATCATTAGACATTCAGTTGCTAAACAGAAGCAGATGAACAAGAACTGGACTTTGTCACTCTGACTTTCATTTTGTTAGGATTACTGATTACTCTTTTATTATTTTTTATGTTAATGTGTTACTTGACAGTATTTTTAGATGAAAACCTGGACAAACTAAGTGAGATTTTCTCAGAGTCCCTTTCAAAATGTAATGCTTAACTGCCCACTTCCTTTACTCTTTGCGTCCACCCCTCAGCTCTGGATGTGCAGGCAAGATGTTTTGTCTGTTAATCATCTCAGTGAAACACATGTCCACGGTGTAATTTGCTAGCCTGAAAGGATTTTTATTTCTTCTTTCTTCAGGCTACTAAAAGACTGCTAACATACCTTAACCCAACAAATGTCAGGCTTGCAGATTTTGGCATTCCTCGGTGGTGTGGCTGGGTTAGGAGCCACTATCGGTGCCACAGTGTCCAATGAATGGAGGGCCACCAGCCGGGCTTCCTCAGTCATCACAGCAACGTGGGTGCTCCAGGGTCTGTGGAACAACTGTGCTGGAAATGCCATTGGATCTCTGCACTGCAGACCACATCATACTATCTTACAGCTAGAAGGTTAGATCAGAAATCTTATATTTCCCAAACAGCCAGAACATCTATGTTTATGGTTAAATAACACATGCATTATGTTGATAATCTTTTTGAGCTATAAATTTATGGTAAGGTACAGTGTGGATACTGCGGAATTGCTTCTTTAAATAGTCTTGATGTGTGGTGACTAAGTGAAACAAATGTGTCACTTTTTGTCTATTGGCAAATCTATCAGCAAAGTCCTCAAAATTCTTTAAAAGGTGAAATTCAAAAATGTATTTGAATTTTTTTTTTTAATGGAATTTTGTAAGATATGCACTTTTTATTATTTTCTTTTTCATGGAAGCATGCATTCAGTATCTGTCACAGTAGATTATGTAACACAGTCTCTGAACTCTATCTTTTGTTATTTCTGTTGCTAACATTTTTTTAGCCACAAGTACAGTTGATTGATTTCCATTAAAATGGGCCCTTAATACAAAGCAATCAAACAGTTAATTCAATTGACAATTTGCATTTCAGAGACCGATTGTGGCAAATGTGTAAATGTGTAACCTCTTTGTAGGAAATGTCAAACTGGGTGTCTCTGGGGTCCAGGTACAGGGGAAATAACCCAAGACACGTAAGCACTAACAGGCGAGAAAGACAGAAAACGACAGCATAGGTCTAAAATAAGCATAAAATACTAAAATAACTAAAATGCTTTACTTTCTCACAATGGAAAGAAACAAAAAAAAATTCAAAGAAAATGCATTTAAGTTATGTCTATAACATACCAAAATTAATTATGTTTAATCCTTTTTTTTTGTTTGTTTGTTTGCCACATATTATCAGTATTACCAGTTTCATATTTATTTTTCCACATTCTACAAAATATCGACAAAAATAATCCCAGAAAGGATGGGTGGGAAAAAAACTCAAGGTCCCGCCATATGAAGGTGGGAGATACTAGTGTACAGCCACCAGGTGGAGCTGGTGTAATTCACATACTGAATTCAGTTGGCCTTTGTCAAAGACACCCTGATCGCCCTTTTGTTCATCTCCTATAAACACATTTCTGTTGACTCAAGGGACATTCGTCTGAGGTAAGACATCAGAGAGAATGCCATGTTGTTAATAAGTTATCTAAATGCGGCTATTTTAAGTGCATGAGGAAGTGGTGGTAACTGTTGCCTATACTGTTCGTGACTTCCCAGTGCAAGGTGAAAAATATAAGGTATCTTTTAAAATGTTTGTTTGTATTTGTTCAATGAATTAAATTTTATTTATACAGCTCCAAATCACAACAACAGTCACCTCCCCACATAGCAGACAGGTCTGGCCTGGATCTGGTGTCAAGTCGGCACTGCGGGCTGACTTCTGGCATGGCAAGTGGTATGTCATCCAGATATGGGCCAGGCCTGGCGCAGATGGCACTGTTTATGTGATGGCATGCCACATCTGGCCCGCTTATGGTTTGGTTTATGTGGCCTAGGCTCATAGAAAACAGGTCTTCCCCAGATCTGGCATCAAGCTGGCACTTCTGACTGGCTGGTATCATGGAAGGGTGTATGTCCACCAGATGTGGGCCAGTTCTGGCAATGATGGCACTATTTATATTCCTATTTTCCTATTTTAGTTCGAAGACCCAAATGCCATGTTGCAATACTATACTGCTGTGGTAACCAACATTTCAAATGCAGGTTTGACAGGTTTGTGAGTGTACACTTTATCCAAAACCTAGTGAGAGTTTGCTCGCGTTTACCACTGGGTGGCTGTAGCTCAGGCGGTACAGCAGGTCACATACTAATCAGAAGGTTAGTGGTTTGATCCCTGGATCCTCCAGTCTCCATGTCAAGAGTGGGAATGTGCATGGAAGTAGTTAAGAAGTGCTCAGTTTAGAGAAAGTGTGTGATTGGGTGAATGAGCATGTTGTATAGAGCACTTTGAGTAATCTGAGAGAGTAGGAAAGTGCTATATAAGAATCAGTCCATTCATTGAGTTTTGTCATATTACTTTTGCACTGTTGTGTTCTGGCACATGTTGTTATTACTTGGCTTGATTAAGGCACACATTAGGCTGACATCTGGGGCCAGAGCTGAAACTGTTCTGGGCCAGCACAGGGCCAGCAGTGTGTCTGCAACTGGCCTTGTGCTGGCCCATGTTTGGGCCACCTCTGGTAAACCAGATCTGGGCCACCAAAGGGACGTTATTCTTTGCGGTATGTGGGCCACGTGTAAGCACATTGTGTGGGCCAGATCCGGGCCATACCAATTTTGCTATGTGGGTCAAGGTTCTTTATATTGTAAGGTAGACCCTGAAATAATACATACAGAGAAAAACCCAACAATCATATCATCCGCTATGAGCAAGCACTTGGGCAACAGTGGGAAGGAAAAACTCCCTTTTGACAAGAAGAAACCTCCAGCAGAACCAGGCTCAGGGAGGGGTGGCCATCTGCCGTGACTAGCTGGGGTGAAGAGAGGAAGACAGGACAAAAGACATACTGTGGAAGAGAGCCAGAGATCAATAATAACTAATACACCTGCCCTGCCCGACTCTGCGCAAACAATCCTGCTCTAAATATGTAAAAAAATTTTTACTATGTCGTCAATATTTTTACTTATTAATAAAACTATTTAAATAGTGCCCCTCGTGTCTACTGCAGTCCGCATAAAACACACACATACCTGCAGCTACCTAGAAACTGTGCTTGAGGATGTGTGCTAAGCTTAATTTTAAACCCTTTTGTGAGATCATCGCAGTTCAACTTTTCAGGACTCTCAGTCACCAACAGCAGGACTGCGAGTCACAGTGACGTGTACCGTGGGTGGAAAACACTATAAAGGACCACTGGCCACCTGTTGAAGTTTAAGGCCAAACTCCTCCCTTCCCAATATAACAGTTCACAACACATTAACTGTAATCACAGCCTATTCATTGAACCTACTTGTGCCAAGAGCCTAGCTACATTTTCAACAAGTCTCAGGGAAGCATTCGTCCATTTCAGGTCCCATCAATTTAACTGCCAGCCACAGTAAAGTGGAGGATTCTTCTCAGCATTATGAGCAGCATGTTTCAGGAGATTGTTGCCTTTTTTTTCTCTACCGCTGGGTGGATACTGGAGTCTTCTACCTTGCCGACTGACTACTGGAAGGTGTCTTCAGATGATGGATCAGTCATTACCACAGCTTCCTACTGGTCAAATCTTTGGAAGACCTGTGTGACTGATTCAACAGGAGTATCCAACTGCAAAGAATTTATCTCGATGCTGGCACTGGATGGTCAGCTGTTCTTATTATACACCTATCATTTATCTTGGATTTTACTAGTATGCTGGATTCATTTAAACCATAGGTCTCAACTTCTGTTTATTTATTGTTAGTGTGTGTATATATATGTTCGTATGCTTACTAATACCATAGTATATGATAGCATCTTAAGACTTTTCAAATGCTCTTTTAACCTAATTTTCTGTGTTTTTATTGATCCTTTCTCATTTTCCTTAATGTGCTTAAACCTCTGCTCTTTTTATCTTTAAATCATTTTTTGAAAATTCACGTTGAAGCTTATTGCTACATCGGAATAATTCAAACCCTAAAGCCAGTCTCCAACTCATTTACCGTCTAATATGTCAATGTTTAGCCTTAGTTCTCAGAACCTGAAAACAATAAAGAAGATTTACTGGGAACCTCAGGGAGTTTTGTTCACGGCTGACTAGTTTCAGTGGTTAGCTTCCAGGCTAATGTTTGCCTTGAAATTACATTTCAATGGCATTTTTTTCACCCAAAGAAGCAGACACACTAACACAAAGTAGCAGAAACCACTTAAGGTTACTCATGACAAATTGTTTTTCTTACTTTATGTGTTAAGTTGGCCACGAGGTCAGTAGCTCATTGACCTTGTGGTCCAGACCACAAAAAAGAAGCATAGTGCAAAAAGACTCCTGTGGTTGCATTTAAGTAGTAAGATTTTTGTTTTATGCCTGTAGGTTACCTCATAGCTTGCAGGGCACTCATGATTTCCGCCGTCATTCTGGGCTTTTTCGGCTCTATATTTGCCCTTGTGGGAATGAAGTGCACAAAAATTGGAGGATCTGACAAAAACAAAGCGAGGATTGCCTGTTTTGCCGGTGTGCATTTCATTCTTAGTGGTAAGTATAGATGAACCATTTGAGCAAGAGCACATTCAGCAGTTTAAGATAATTAACATTTCCCTTTTTACTCAGGCCTGTGCTCACTCTCATCCTGCTCCATCTATGCGCACCGGATAACATCAGAATTTTTTGATCCAATGTTTATCGCGCAAAAGTAAGGAGCATGTTTGCCCTACAGAGTCTTTTAATGTGGCTTGACTTAAACATTAAAGACATAAACATTATCATTAAATTTTACTGTTTGTCTCTAGGTATGAACTTGGAGCTGCTCTCTTTATTGGCTGGGGTGGATCTGTCCTCTGTATTCTCGGGGGCACCATGTTATGCTTCTCCATTGCAGGTTCTTTTACCAGTAGGTTAGTAAGTAAGACTTACGCATGAGCACATTTTACAGGCCACTGTTTGTTGAATTATAATGGTTTTTGGCATGTAAAAATTAAGCTATGTCTTTTTCTTCACAGCAAAAGAGAGGTAAACTATATCTACAGAGGCGCTGCCTCACATTCTCGTATCTCCTCCTACCCAAAAGGGCAGGCGAAGTCTGTAAATCAGAGGCTAACTCCAGACAACAGCACCTCCTCCAGGATCCAGCACTTTGATAAGAATGTTTATGTGTGACAAATGTGAATATACTTTTGGTTAAAGCCACGTTTGGGTACTAGAAGATATATTAATTGTTAATTATAGCACAGTCTGTGTGACTTTGTGGTGTTGGTCAAACAACAGTTGAATGTACTGATATTGATTCATATCTCACCAGGAAATCAGTGTCAAATCCTTACATGTTTTTTGAAGCTGGATCTTTTTTTCTTGTTTTTATGATACAGTTTACTCTCTGGACTTGGGGGGATCAATAAATCAAAAACATTTGGCCCACAACAGAGATTTCTAATCAAATGCTTGCATCATTTTCTATTTTTGGAGCTTTTTTATGGCGATGAGCACGTTCTATTTATGTACAAAATTGGATTTGTTGGTTATGTCTTTAGCTGTATGTAGCTTCTGCGTGTCTGTCATTAATCTGTAATGACCGCAATTAAAATGATGACAGACACCCATTTATCTTGTTGAATATGACGTAACCATAAACAACCTTTGTAGTGTACAAACTTGTAGAGGGTAAAAAAACATGCTGAAATGTTTGGTGAATTATGAGCATTCTTGGTTCCTTAGCACATTGCTGTGTTTAGTTAAAACATGTTAAAGTAAATACAACTAAGTTGCAGCAAATTCTGTGTCTGTGGGGGTTTTTTTATTTTTTGTTTTTTTTAAGTGATTACCTCAGGTCAACAGAGTATTATTATGAGCTATTCTGTTCTGTCATCTTCCCTTTCCTATTCAAATTATGTGCTAATATGCTTGAGAAACGAGCAAGGTGTAAACATGATGAAGCCTTTTAAGTACATCTAAATATTGCTACAGCAATAATCAATACAGTCGTTTGAAATATCTACAGGAGAAGGTATGATCCAAAAAGTTTACAGTAAACACAGCATGAAGTGGTACAGAGCCCTCATCAACACATGACACTTATGACGTAGTTAAATGGACACCCGGGCCACATTTTACTTGAATCTAGAGCAGTAGAACAGTTAGTGAGCCAGAGTAGACGTCAATAGATTTTCTTCTTCTAAGGTCAGCACAATCCATTAAACCTGCATTAGCAGGCTTCTTGATTTCCACAATGAGAAAACGTGTGATCCAAATATCTGGCTTCTTGATTTCATCGTTGGGATGGCTGTTTGTGCTCTGCACCATGGCAATGGACTATTGGAGGATTACCAAACTCGGAGGGCAAGGAGGCTCGTACATCATCAAAGTGGCCTGGTACTGGTCCAACCTGTGGAGCGACTGTTACACAGATTCTGCGGCTGTGACCAACTGTAGAGAATACCCAGTGCTCTGGAATGTTGCTTGTATGTTGCATTTGCCTCACCAATAATTTTTATATAGATTATGTACATGCAGTCAGGTGATCAGTCATTAGTAATTTTTTTAAGTCTCATTCTTCAAATAATTGTACTCCTGACTATAATTCTGTCTGTTAATCTGTCACTTTGAATAGTATCGCCTAGTTTTGCAATGCTATTGATTAACAAGTAGAGCATGCTGTTGTTCTGGATCCATATTAAAAGTTGCGTTGACTTTGCACCAGTTCCTAAAAGTGATACTATAACTCATTTGAGAAAAAAAGGTCAGATATTTGGGAATTTATAGAAACGTCTATAAAATACCCTGCAGACTTGCTTTAATATACTTAACCTTTATTTGCTAATGCTAACTTTGAATATATAAAAAATAAGAGCTTCCTCAGTGAGCTCACTTTATGACTTGGCTCTGATTTTGTTAAACTTCCAATTCTGGCGACAGTGGCAGCTGATCATAAAAGTTTACCTACACCCAATTTTTTTTGTAAACATATATTTATTGGATTTTGTATTCATAAATATCCAACACTTTAAATTTCTTGAACATATGGCAGTAAGAAAGCAATAAAAACACAAGACACTAAAAAAAAGAAATAGCCCCCCCAAAAAAGCAACTAAACTGAAACAAACAAAAGACCAACAAACAAATAAAACAACAACCAAGAACAAAATAGAAAATAAAAACAGATCAGGTTACGGTATACATTCCCAAATTTAGTTACATATTTTCCATTACCTTACTCTCTCGCCACCTTCTCAACTTCCCCATTTTTTAATAGATCCAGAAACATCTTCCAAATGTCAAAAAATTCTGAAGATCTTTTCCTAAATACACAGGTCAGTTTCTCAAGAACTAAACTTGATGTTACATTGTTTATCCATTAACCAATGGTTAAACAATGGCCCCCCATTAACCAAAGAGGGGCCACCAACAATTCTTCCAGCATACTGCACTACACCATTTGGCCTGGAGTAAGTAAAGGTCAACCATCTTCCTCTCTGTATGAGCGAAATTACAGTCATCTGGATAAATGCCTAAAATACAGACCTTAAGACTTAACACTATATTTTAACACTGAGCACCAAAACTTTTGAATCTTTTACGTACACCCAAATTAAGGTGTTTCCATATTCCTTAAGTCAGTTGATTGAAGGTCATGGTCTCCCCATGACCATGTATCAGATAGGCAGAAGAAAATGGATGGTTGGATGGATTCAACAAAATATATAATGTACCCTGATGGGTTTAAAAATATTCTTATTGCGTCTATAAATTCAATCTTCAAATATTCTGGACTTTATGAAGACTGCTAAAGAATACTTAAAAGAGATCATCTTTTGTACAATATTCTTCAACCATATCCAAAAGAGGGATTTATTCATATTTTTATTGACTCTCAGATTCAATGAAACAAAAAGACTTGGTGCAGCATTATGTCATCCAAGCATCGCCAAGCATCTGCTGATTGAATCTTTACAAATCTGAGAAAACATTGCAGAAACCATTGTAGATCACAATCTCTGCACTGCATAGCTGTTTTTATAGCTGTTTTATTTATACTGGTCTGATTTGATTCTCATATCAACCCCTTGTTGTTTATTATTTTTTCTCATTTTCTCCTTTCTGAACTCTTTTTGATTTGAACAGATTACGTGCAGGCAGTGAGAGGATTGCTAATGTGCGGGTTAACTATTGGATTCTTTGCTGTAGTGTGCTGCTTTGTCGGGATGGAGTGCACTTACATCGGCGGATCTGACAAAACCAAGGACAAAGTGCTCTTCGCGGGAGCAGTGCTTCATTTTGTTGGTGGTAAGCTTTGAACATACGCCGTGCTTCTCTCTGTAAATGTTTTGCCATCATTTTTTTTCCTCTGTTCACCGAAACCTCTTCACGCAGGTATGTCAGACATTGCTGCCTACTGCTTATACATCAACAGAATTGCCAGGACAGCTTTTGCTCGAAAGGTCGCATCAGGAGTTTTGCGGTACTGCTTTTTCCACTCCATACACCATTTTACATCAAATCTTTTCAAATTATAGACATATCTGCTATAAATTTTGCAGTAACTTATATTATTTAAATGATAGCATGATTTTCTCCTCGTCCTTTCACTTCTTCCAGATATGAATTAGGATCTCCAGTTTTTCTAGGATTGGCAGGAGGCTTTTTCATCCTAGTCGGGGCTGTTCTTTATGCTGTGACAGTGTATAAAGTAATCCGCAGAAAAAGGTGCCTAAATTATTCCACTTTAATCCCTTTTCTTGTCTCTACTACCACTACATCATATAATTAACATCATCAATGTTTTGAATTTTACAGCAGAGTAGTACAAGCCTGTGATGCTCACACGTACATGGCGCCTCCATCCAGAGGAAGAACCATTTATTCCGGATACTACAAACCCTCCAAGCTGTATGGGTCTAACTATATGGGCTCAGGACGATCAAGCGCCCAACTTTCAAAGCTTCAGGCAACACCAACGAAACCCTCAGACAGAGATGCATTTGTCTAGTTGGTCTGTTTTAACTCAAACAGACAATGCAATAGTTCAACTTGTAGATAGGAGGAAAGTAATTTTTTGTCATGTTTTGTTTCCTTTAGATCACTTCATACTCAGTCATATTCACCTCGTGAATAAAACAGATGTGCAGTCTTAGTCTTGTGTTTGTACCAGTGGTTGTCATAGTCTTGTGTTTACACTTATGTTATAATTGCTGTGATTTAACCAAAAGCATTTTCTGTCATTAAGAATCTCACTGAAACACCTATGACGATGAACAGATGTATATATCAATTAATATATCAATATCACTTTGATCACCACCACACTGCTCAGTTTAAACCTTCGATAAAGATGTCCAATATTTTATTGGCAAAATCACACCTTTATAAAGACATTAGTGCAATTATTATGCATTTCATCCAAAGAAATGAGTCTTCTCCTTGTTTTATGTGTAAAGTAACAACTCAATGGTGCACAAAACTAAAACTATTCTCGTCGGGAGACTGAGTATCAACAACAGCCACGCTGATGGAAATGATCTTTCCAAAACAAACAGGTGCAGTCTGAGGCATAACATGTTATGGTGTTCTCTTGTAGTTGTGTGTCTGTGTTTAAGTGTGTATAAAGGGGACTTGGAGAATTTAAAAAAAACAAAACAGATGAACGATAGATAAACCTGTGTATTTATACAGAGGTCAACACATGAAAAGTGGCACTGTACAAGATTTTAAACTTTATTTTGAATGGCTTAAATAAATGTTCTCTGAATGAGAAAACTTGTATTTTGACTCCTTCTTCTTTGACTATATAAACAACAGCATCATCCTATGAAGCGCCTTGAGGCGACTTATGTTGTGATTTGGCGCTATATAAATAAAATTGAATTGAATTGAATTGAATCCTGCAAGCTATTTGACTTCAAAATATAATTAAAAAAATGAATGTATAAATTACATTATTAATCATAGCTGTTAATTACTTAATGTGTATATTACTTGCAGCTTGCAGCTGGAGAGGATTTTAGTGAACTTTATACTGCTGGTAAGTTTTGTTAATAATATATGCTTATATATGAGTAGATGTGTATTAACATTAAAAGATTAAGTATGGAAATAGTATGGATTCATTGGTGCATCACTAATAATTCAGGTAATGAAATCCTACCTAGAAGGCTTATTATTTATTTATTATTTATACTGTTCCTTCTCAAGTAGCGTTTCAAATAGAGAAATGTTTTGTCACGTATCTAAGTGACTTCTTCAGGGGGGCGGTGCCACTGCATGCCCTCCTCTATTCAGCACGTGAGAAGGGAGTTCAAAGAAGACAGTTCTGGAAAAAATGCACTGTGGTTTGTGTTAAGGAGCTTAGATTTGTTAGTAGTCTGTCTTGGTGCTGAAATCTGAAGCAATAATGGGTTATAGGACTATGGTGATGTACATGGAGATAGGCTGCTTTGTAGTATGTGTGTGTGGATGGATTCTGGTCTGCTCCACAATGCCAACAGATATCTGGACCTGGTCTGAAGTCAGCAACGTGGTCCTGGCGACATCAAACTACTACTCAAACTTGTGGAAGGACTGCATATCTGATTCAACTGGAGTATCTGACTGCAAGGGAATTCCATCCATGCTGGCACTGAACTGTAAGTAAACCGTCCCTCAGAATACCGTAAATTAAAGATAAAAACCCAGTGAACTTAGTGCCTTTAACCGCTTTTTTTCTGCTTGTGGACAGGGGACATTCACATGTGCCGGGCTCTTATCATCATCTGTATTATCCTGTGTTTCTTCGGATCAATTTTGGTCTTAGTTGGAATGAAGTGCACTAAGATCGGAGGGTCCGAGCTTGCTAATGCAAGAGTAACCTTTGCCGGAGGGATGAACTACCTTATAGGAGGCAAGACAGAAATTTGTTTGAACTGAGTCACATTGTTAGATATTGCACTGTTTAATATTTAAGTAATTGTGTGAGTATTGTTTCAGGGATGTGTTCTATGATTGCTTACTCCTACTATGGAAATAAAATAAGAGCTGAGTTTGAAGATCCAAACTACATGGAACAGAAGTATGTAGCAGATATATATGATAAGTCTGCGTACTTGATGACTCACATTTAGATCATTGTTTTTCCTATGAGGGAGAATTGCACTTGAAATATTCTTGTATTTATTGGCAGGTTTGAAATAGGAGTAGGTGTCTTCATTGGCTGGGGAGGCTCTACCTTACTTATTGTTGGAGGACTTATTTACAGTATCTTTGCAGGAAGAGAAGGGTGTCACTCAAGGTAAAATACCGCTTCTGTGTCATTTGTTTGTTTGTTGTTGTTTTTATAATTAGCCAACCTCAGTCTGCAATACACAATTAGAGTCATGAATTCATTTTCGGAATTGTACCTTGACAGCTCAAAGAGGTATGCTACGCATCAGTTCCAAGATGCCTACACTTTTGTTCCAACACAAAAAAGCGTTGTGTCTTTGGCTTCCACAGAGATTAGTAGGAGTAAAAAACCAAGGACGATCAGCAGCAGCAGAGCCAGTAGCATCTCAGAGATCAACAGTGTCACCAAGACATCGGTCACTTATTCATATGTGTGACTAACCTACACAGAATTATTTTTGTTTTTCTTTCACAAAGAATGTGTGTGTTTTACTTTGAGAGTCATTAAATGTCAAATCAAGTATTTGTCTTTACAACACTTTTGTGATTATGAAACCAAAAGTGTTACTAATAATAATACGGGCATCCTGAAACAATGGAATTTTTTTTTTATTGATGGCAACACAGCTTCAAGCTACTTCTAAGAGCTGTTTAAGCTTTCAACTGTGACATGACAGGACATATTTACTACATTAATTTTTCCACTATCATGAAACAAAATTGTGTTTTCCCTGCATCTGCATCAAGGTGCATCATTTAAAATTAATAAAGCATAACAGAAATGTAAAGTGCACATTTGCGTATGAATGGTGGTGCTTTGTTTGCATATTGAGGAGAACACATTGAACTTGGGTTTTGAGGGGTACCTCCCCAGGGAATTTTGAGTATCGAACGCACCATTTTTTCCTTCTGGTTACTTTTATTAATCACACAGTTTGTACTTTTTTTTTTTTTGAAGCAGTTTATATAGAAATTATCTTTATTCTTAAAGACAATAAAACAATAGAGAGTAATGAGTTGGCAATTTTGTTTAACGAGAGGCTACTTTTTGTCTGTCTTTGGTACGAGCAAATAATGTATTGAACTTCACATACTGTTCATATTCTATACCTGGACAGTATAGTCTGGGTCAAAAGTTCCTTCATAATAAGGGTTTACAACAGCTGAACTACGCACCTATTTTTTTTAGGTTTTACATTACTCAGTTCTTATGTCCTGTTTTATCTAAGACATGAAAACACAACAGTTATAACAATTTAAATATGTCAAGAGACGCTGTGTGGCAGGCGGGAGTTGGACCCAAGATGCAGGCACTCAGGCACGAGGTTTAAACACAAAAAACTCAGCTTTATTTACTGGCAGGGAAAAAGCATACAAAAGCAAACTAAACTCACAGGGAGACACAGGGAGATCCACACAGCATGAGGGACGACGTGACACTGACTCAGAGAAACACAGGGTTTAAATACAATGGGAAGTAATGAGGGCAGTGGGACACAGAAGGAGGGCACGGCTGGGAGAAATCAGAACTGACGAGACAAGGAAGCAAAGTAGAACACATTCACATAAGACACAGACCTTCAAAGTAAAACAGGAAGTATAACACAGAGACGCGAACTTGACACGGTGGAGACAGCAACTAAGAAACACAGAGACATAAACCATAAAGCAGAGGACTCTAAGAACCAAAATACATAGAGGGAAATACTAAGCTTGGAACACAAGAAACTAGACTTGAGGGAGTAACAAAAGACCAACCATGAGAGCATAATTCACAATACAGAGTGACAGAAAACACAAGAAACTCGAAACATGCAAAGACACAGACCAAGAAACACAGACTTACACAGAACAGAGGGGGCACAGAGAAACATGAAGGGCAAGGGATCCAAACTAGAAACCATAGAATAAATCACACGAGCACAAAATACAAGAATCACAAATAACTAAAAACGCTGGGTCAGGAGACCCAGGATCCCGACAAAATATATGAATCTGAAGGTGACATGCAAGTGTTTCCCACACTTATTGAAATGGCAGCTCAGGTGACTTTACAATCTTATGACCCCTAGGCCTAAACCCTAAATCTCTGTTTTAATCTCAGTTCAGGTAATCTCAGTTAGCTAAGAATAAATGGATTTGAATTTTTTTATTGTTATATTAACATTAGCATTAGCATTTGTGCTTGCGCATGCAAAGCAGAAGCACCAACAGCGTCATGTAATATACTTGCATTTATGTGGCACTTTCTAATGTTACTGACAAACTCAAAGTAACTTTAATTAAAGGTCACACTTTAACCATACATTCATACAGCACTTTCAATTCAGTTTTATTTATGTAGCCCCAAATCATAACAACAGTTGCCTTAAGGTGCTTTATATTTTCAGGTAAAGATCCTACAATAATACAGATATATTCCCAACAATCAGATAACCCCCAATGAGCAAGTTCTTGGCAACAGTGGAAAGGAAAAATTCCCTTTTAACAGGAAGAAACCTCCAGCAGAACTAGGCTCAGGTAGGGGCAGCCATCTGTCTCCATTTAGTAGGGGTGAGGGGCAGGAGACAGAACAAAAAACACACCATGGAAGAGAGCCAGAGTAGCACATAAACGCATAGTGAGTGAAAAGCTTTATTCTCTACACTCCAAGCACTTTATCTACCTCACATTCACAGCCAGCTTTGCATCACCAATTAGCCTGACATTCATGTCTTTAGATTTTGGGAGGAAGCTGGAGTATCTGGAGAAAACGCACATCAGGTACTGGAGCTGGTCAAATATGCAAACACCACACACAACCAGAAGCTTTTTCTGCTATGAGGTGAGAGTGCTAAACACCGGACCACTCTATTTCTGATCTTGCGTCTGTGTCGAGGAATCCTCTGACATCTGTTCTTTATGTGCCTGTATATGATCTTATCTTCTGTGCTGTCTGGCTGTTTCACTTTTGCCCGTCACTCTCTTGCCAAACAGACCAGAAAGTTATGCAACATTAGTTCAAGAATTATCAACCAAGCAACAACACATATATAAAGTAGCTCACAACATCCTAATAGAAGATATTGTGTGTTCCGCGGGGATACTGATGTCCAGTGTGATTTTATAAACTCATAACTGATATTCAAAAATATCTTTATAATTTTGAGAAAAACTTACAAATTACAATCTTTGCAACAATGACTGCCACTCTCTACTTATCCCTCCTGACTGATTTTCTCAACTTTTGTTGTTGTCCTCATGACTGCTGGTGGCATGAGACTGTAGCTTGCACAAATGTCTAGCTTCTTGATGACTGCACATCAATAATTGGTACTACAATATTTGTTGTGTTTGCCAGTAAAGTCTCGAGCATGTGGAGGATATACCCAGAGATTGGTCATTACATGTAGAAGGCTCGACAGGGAAACGGGTGTCAACCCAGCTGCAGGACCGACATTTGCTCTTTCGTTTGAGGAGAAACAGGAGGAAAATTGCCAGAGCTCTACAATGTGACCTCCAGTGAGCTACTTATCCATGTTCCTGACCAAACTGTCAGACTCTGTGAAGTTGGCATGAAGGTCTGGCATCCTGGAACCTAT